ATTCAGGAAAAGCCTTTCACAAAATTCAACATCCATTTATGATAAAAAGTCAACAATGTGGGTATAGAGGGAAGGTACCTCAACATAATAAAGATCACAAATGACAAGCCCACAGCTAACATCATGCTTAATGGTGAAAACTTGAAAGCTTTTCCTCTAAGATCAATAATAAGACAAGAATGCCCACTGTCACCACTTTTGTTCAATATTGTATTAGAAGTCCTAGCCAGAGCAATTAGGAAAGAAAAAGAAATAAAAGGCATTCAAATCAGAAAGGAAGCAGTAAAACAGTCAGTATTTGCAGATGATATGATATTATATATAGAAAATCCTAAAGACTCCATGAAAAAAACTGTTAGAAGTAATAAACAAATTCAGTAAAGTTGCAGGATACAAAATCTGTTGCATTTTTATACAATAACAACAAACCATCAGAAAGAGAGATTAAGAAAGCAATCCCATTTACAATTGAATCAAAAAGAATAAAATACCTAGAAACAAATTTAACCAAGGAGGTGAAAGGTTTGTACAATGAAAATTACAAGACTTTAATGAAAGAACTTGAAGAATACACAAATAAATGCAAAGTTATTCTATGCTCATGGATTGGAAGAATTAATATTGCTAAAATGTCCATACTACTCAAAGCAATCTACAGATTCAATACAATGCTTATCAAAATTACAATGGTATTTTTCACAGAAATAGAACAAACAATCCTAAAATTTGTATGAAACTACAAAAGACCTCAAATAGCCAAAGCAATCTTGAGAAAGAAGAACAAAACTGGAGGCATCATGCTCCCTGATTGCAAACTCTATTACAAAGCTATTGTAATCAAAACAGTATGGTATTAGCATAAAAAAAGACAGAGATCAACGGAACAGAATAGAGAGCCCAGAAATAAACTCAAGTATATACAGTCAATTATTTTTTGACAAGGGAGCCTAGAATATACAATGGAGAAAGGACAGTTTCTTCAATAAATGGTGTGGGTAAAACTGGACAGCCACTTGCAAAAGAATGAAACAAGACCACTATCTTGCATAATATACAAAAATTAACTCAAAATGAATTCAAGACTTGAATGTAAGATCTGAAACTGTAAAACTCCTAGAAGAAAACATAGGTGGTAAACTCCTTTACTTCCGTCCTGGAGATAATTTTTTGAATCTGGAACCAAAAGCAAAGGCAACAAAGTAAAAGTAAACAAGTAGGGCTACATCAAACTAAAAAACTTCTGCATAGCAAAGAAAACCATCAACAAAAGAAAAAGGCAACCTACTGAATGGGAGAAAATATTTGAAAATAATATATCTCATAAAGGGCTAATATCCAAAATATATAAAGAACTCATATAACTCAATAGCAAAAAGACAATTCAGTTAAAAAATGGGCAGGGCCAGCCGGTGGTGCAGTCAGTTAGGTGCACGCACTCCGCTGCGGTGGCCCGGGGTTTGCTGGTTCGGATCCCGGGCACGCACCGATGCACTGCTTGGCAGGCCGTGCTGTGGCAGTGTCCCATGTAAAGTGAGGGAGATGGGCACGGATGTTAGCCCAGGGCCAGTCTTTCTCAGCAAAAAAAGAGGAGTCTTGGCAGATGTTAGCACAGGGCTGAGCTCCTCACACACAAAAAAAATAAAAAAAATGGGCAGAGAATCTGAATGGACATTTTTCCAAAGAAGACATACAGATGGCCAGTAGGTAGGTGAAAAATGTTCAGTATCAGGGAAATGCAAATCAAAACCACAGTGAGATATCACCTCACATCTGTCAGAATGGCTGTTATCAAAAAGATAAGAAATAACAAGTGTTGGAGAGGATGTGAAGGAAAGGGATCCCTTGGGCACTATTGGGGTGGAAATGTAAATCGATATAGTTCCTATGGAAAGCAGTTTGGAGGTTCCTGAAAAAATTTTAAAAAGAACTAGCATGTGATCCAGCAATTCCACTTCTGGGTATTTATATAAGGAAAATAAAAATACTAACTCAAAATGATATCTGCATCCCCACATTCATTGCAGCATTATTTGCAATATCAAAATTATAGAAACAACCTAAATGTTCTTCAATGGATGAATGGAAAAAGAAAATATAATATACATATTATCTGAGCTTTCAATTTTCACGGTTTCAGTTACCCACGGTCAACCACAGTCCAAAAATATTAAATGGAAAATTCCAGAAATAAACAATTCATTAGTTTTAAATTGCACACTGTTCTGAGTAGCGTGATGAAATCACATGCTGTCTGCTCCTTCCTGCCTGGGACATGAATCGTCCCTTTGGCCAGCGGATCCACATTGTATACACTACCTGCCCATTAGTCACTTACTAACCATCTCAGTTATTAGATCAACTGTCGAGATAGCGCAGCACTTGCATACAAGTCACCCTTGTTTTACTTAATAATGGCCCCAAAGCACAAGAGCACTGATGCTGGCAATTCAGACATGCCAAAGAGAAGCCACAAAGTGCTTCCTTTAAGAGGAAAGGTAAAAGTTCTCGACTTAATAAGGAAAGAAAAAAAAATGTATACTGAGGTTGCTGAGATCTAGAGTAAGAATAAATCTTCTATCTGTGAAATCGTAAAGAAGGAAAAAGGAATTCATGCTAATTTTGCTGTTGCACCTCAAAATGCAAAAGTTACAGCCACAATGCATGGCAAGTGCTTAGTACAGGAAAAAACATAGTCTATATGGGGTTCAGTACTATCCATGGCTTCAGGCATCCACTGGGGGTCTTGGAATGTATTCCCTGCAGATAACGGAGGACTATTGTACTGCATATTTGAAAGTTTCTATGAGAAAAAAAAGAAAAGAAAAATATCTCTTCGGGAGCCGGATGGAACTTTTGGCAATTTGTTCATGTAGCAATAATAAATATTAACCAATGCGAGAATTAAAGTTCAGCATCTATTCTATAATTATTTTTCATTTTTTAAATAAAAAACCTTGCTTGAATAGATGAGAGTAAAATGATTTTTGTTATGGTAATATTACTCAATTCTTTGAACTCCTTCTTAATTGTATGCCAAAAGTCACATAATGATCTAACATCAAAAATTACTCTCGATGACTTATGTGTTAAAAATTCCATTCGCTCTTTCTCAAATTTGGTGGAAGTAAAGAATTTTAAATATTCTGCAAACAAAAGATACATTACCCATTCATTAGAGTCATTTACTTTCTTAACACCTGCACTAATATTTCACACTGTCCGTTAGACCGGAGTCGGGGATAAATCAAGATGACTTTCTCCTGTAAAGTGGGAGAAGAATAATTGGGTCCTGCCCCTTGAGGTACCTTGTTTACAAAAGCACTGCTTGTTGGCTTCCCCACATCATATCTCCCTCACCTCTACCCACTGCCAAGTACTGTGCTGAGCATTTGTGGGGGGCAGAAATATGCACCCCCTTCCTGTCCCCTTCAAAGATGCCCATGTCCTAGTCCCTGGAATCTGTGAATATGTTGCCTTACATGGCAAACGGGGAATAAAGTTGCAGATGGAATTAACGTTGCTAATCTGTTGACCTTAAAATGGGGAGCATATCCTGGATTATCTAGGTGGGCCCAATGTAATCATGAGCATCCTTAAAAGTGGAAGAGGGAGGCAGAAGAGTCAGTGTCAGAGCCACGTGATGTGAGAAAGATTTAACCTGTCATTGCTAGCTTTGAAAGTGGAGGAAGGAGCCCATGAACCAAGGAATGTGGACAGCCTCTAGAACCAGAAAAGGGAGGGAGACAGATTCTGCCTTAGAACCTCCAGAAAGGAACACAGCCCTGATGTTAGCCCAGTGAGACCTGTGTTGGACTTCCAACCTAAAAAACTGTAAGATACATTTGTGTTATTTTAAGCAACTAAGTTTGTAGTAATTTCTTACAACAACAATAGAAAACTAATACTTATAGGTATTATTAGTATCCCCATTTTACAGGTGAGTAAACTGAGTTACAGAGAGGTTGAAGAACTATCTCAAAGTCACATGTAGAATACAAGGGAAGGAATCACTGAGTCAAGGCATGGCCCACAGGTCACAGAGCCAGTATCGACCAGGTTAGGCCATAGAAAGAGCCAGTATAGACTGTTAGGCCATAGAAAGAACCAGTATAGACCATTAGGCCGTAGAAAGAGCCAGTATAGACCAGGTTAGGCTATAGAAATCACATGTTCATGTTTTCTGTCTTATTATACCGTAAAATTTGTGAGAATAGAGACTATATCTTATTCTTTATTGTACCCATGATGCTTAAAACATATTTATTTCATAAATTTTTGTTGATTTGAATTTGTTAAAGTCTACAGTATGCCTTACACAAGAAATGAAAGGCCTAGAGCTGAAATGGCAAACAGGTGTCATTCATGCGCCAGCACTACTATATTGTTGGAACAGTCTGGAACACTGTCCTGAAAGGATTCTGAGGCTTCCTTTAGGCTGAGGATAAAAGACGATTAATTGATTAATGATATTTGCCATGGGCATGAAGTAAGGCCACATTTTGTCAGTCTAGTGCATAAGTGACAATCCCAAAGCTGGGTTCCAGAGCACAGGTTAGAGTAAGTCTATTTTTGAAACTTAACAGACCAAGGAGACACATACCTTAGAACTTTTCTTTTCTCTGGATAATGGTTTGTGGATTAAACTCAAAACGTTTATGCTGAACTTTTTATTAAGATAAGCAATGAAATATGGCAGTTAAAGGACCTGGGAGAGGTTCACACTATCCCCTGAGCTGGATAAGAGAAATTCATGCTGGCAAGAGGCCATAAAACTGTGCTCCTGGGGATGGCTTAAGGTAATAAGGGATATGCAGCACAATGGAAGGAACATCAGATTAAGCCACAAGTTTATATCAAACTTTGCAACACACTCACTGCCCTGATCCATTATTAACCAGAACAACCCACTCATGCTCCAAGAAGCATTTTGCAGCAGTAAAATGAGCCACTGGAATTCCAGGACCTGGTGAAAATTGTCTTGGAATATCATGCCTTATAACTGCCTTTGCATTTTGCTTCTGCTCTGGTTCAATATCTATCTATGTAGATTCTGGACTTGAATTTTCTTTCCTACTACAGGTTTCCCCACTTTCAGAGTTTGCTACTTAGACTTTCTGATAGAGAGATGCCCCAGGAAATCTTCAATGGTTCTGCCAGTGCTCGCAGCCATGTCGCAGCTGCCTAATTTGGGTAGGGGTATCCCTGGTTCATTAAAGCTGCTCTCTTTGTCTCTCTCAGGACATTGTCTGTATTAGTTAATTTTAAAGAAACAATAAACTAGAACAGGATGTTACAATAGATTTCCCCTAATAAAATTTATCAGAATTCTCCATTTTACTAAGATGGAGAATTTTATATCACCTAGAATTTATTGATAGGGAAATTTGAAAAATGCACCTAAATCCAAATGTGTTCTCAGGTTTAGCCAGTGAGTTATTGAGCTGCCACGTGTCAGGGGCAATATATCTATCCTGACCTCTGAGCAGATTTCATTGTGGAAATGTCATTCCAAATCTCTGCCCTTGAATGTGTCACCTGTAGGAATTATGTGGCATCCACAAGGAAACCCTACTCTTGATGCACTTAACGGAATCTAACCTGAAGTTTATTTCATGAAGAATGAGCTCTTGTTGAGACAGGAGTCCTGAGTTATGGCTCCACTACTCCTCAGCTCTAATATTAGTAAAGGTACAAAGGTGTGAAAACCAAAATAAAAACCAAGCCTGTCTTTCTGTGGCTGACTCATGACATTTTATATTCAATCTGGGAGAGTCTGGGGGTTGGGGCAGGGAGAGATTGGGCAGATGTTCTGATGTTGAATCTATAGATAAGGACGATTTTACTCCTACATGTTAATGTAGTATAGCTGCTCATTAACAACCTTAGTTTACCTTGGTAGTAATATTTCAGACAAGATATATTTTATATGTATGTATGCATATACACATATATTATATAATAGCTTATCAATTACTTTTTATAGACAATATATAATTGTTTTATATATGTATAATATCTTGTGAATCTTATATATATGTGTGTGTATGGTGTCTGTGTGTGTGTGTGTGTGTGTGTATATATATGTAAAAATACTGATAGGCACTCTGTAGTTAGTTAATTCAATAAATGAATGGAGCTTAGGCTTCATCTGGTTCAAATCCTTTTACAAATGAGGAAAATAATTCTTGAGGTGAGTAAAGGAGGGATGGTGGTTAAAGCATTTGAACAGCTAGCATGTCTGCTTAGTCGAGATAGACTTAGGTATTGAAGTGGAAATAGCACTGCCGTTAGCATCAGAGAAATCAGCTGCCCCTTACAAGCTGTTAGGTCTTGAGACAGTTTCTTAATCTCTCGAAGACCAAGCTCTCTTTGGTAAAATGAGAACAACAGTACATGCTTTTCTGGAATGTTGTGACCATTAAAAGAGAAAATGTATTTAAAAATATCTAATATTTTCTGCAATGTAATTGGTTATAAATCAATGTTAGTTTTTTCATTAACTGTTTCTTGCTGCAGTTTTACATCTGGCACGTGGGATTAAACAAGCCCCAGGAAGGAACCACTGCTAAGGGGCCAGGTGCCGCCAAGGAACAGAGACAATAAACCATGACCTCTTCCATTCCCTTTATTTTTATTCAGTTCATAAAATGATGAAAGAAGCAGAGACAAGTGTGAAACTTTTGTGTTACTGGGATTAAGAATTTGTAACCTGATAAAAGAGGAAAATTTGAATCTTACAGTAATGCAAAAAAGGTAAAAAGTTTCCTACTTGAAAATGTCATAATTGTAATCTCTCAATGATAACAATATGAATTCATGTATGCTAGAAACCATGTTTTGAAAGATGCAAAGTAAGAAATTACTTTCCTTTTCTTACTTAGTAAGAAAGTACTTTTCTTACTTTGTAAGAAAACACTAAGTCACATATAGCGATAGGCTGAAGAAGGGTGGGGGATTCTAAAGAAACAGGACCAAACCAAAGTGAAGAAGGTATTAGCCTACTTTGTAGCTGCAGAACCATCAAGGTTATATAGTTCACGTGTGGATCTTTAAGTCCTTCAATTGTGTGCAGCGTTGAATTCATGCTCAAGTTCACACCGGAAGGTGTATTAGAATGCATTGACAGGGACAGTGTTGTCCAAGCATTTGAATACCTTATGAATGCCTAGGTTGCTTCAATTCTGGCTATCTAGAGGATAAGCTTACTTTAGAAAACATCAATTAAATACTTGTGTATTACAAGTATTTGAAATTAGTGTCAGAATCATTATTTGGATGCAGTTTTCCTTGATAGCACCTATCAAAGTGGTATTTTATAAGTTTTTGTAATTATTTGTTAATTGCCATTATCTCTTATTTAGTATAAGATCCATAATGGTAGGTATCATTCTACTTATTCCTTTTCTTACATCCAGTACTTGGCCATAAATAGATGCTCAATAAATGTTTATTGAATAAATGAATGAGTCTTCTTCAGGGGGGGGTATATGTTTTATTTGTCTCTGTATCCTCAGTATCTGGCTTAGTGTCTTCCACAGTATTGATTGTGTGAGGCTATCGAATCATCTCTCTTTACCCATCTATCTACTTTATTTTTTTTTTTTTTGGTGAGGAAGATCAGTCCTGAGCTATCATCTGATGCTAATCCTCCTCTTTTTTGCTGACGAAGATTGGCCCTGGGCTAACATCCATGCCAATCTTCCTCTACTTTATATGGGATGCCACCACAGCATGGCTTGACAAGCGCTGCGTTGGTGCACGCCCGGGATCCGAACCTGAGAACCCTGGGCCACAGAAGCGGAACGCGCACCCTTAACTTCTGTGCCACCAGGCCAGCCCCCATGTATCTATTTTTTTGACATGGTATTTGAATAGTACTACAGTTTTGCTGGGCCTGCCCTGTATTATCCTGTAGAGGTCAGATTCTCTACACATCAGATACTCAAAGAATAACCACACTTATGATGATCTGAGATCACTAGCTTTCCTTTAGAGGCTGACGCACAACAGCGCTAATGACTAGAAAAGTTCTAATGATGATATTTGTCTTCTTCTCAGGATTTAGTGGGTGTTAAAGGTACTGATTTGGTTGGAAAATATTTTATAAGTGTGACTGTCTCAGGCTCTGGAAACGTGTGAACTGCTTTACTGATCACATCAGTAGATTGAACATAGAGCATTATTTCCAAGAGACATCTTTACTGGTCAAGTACCAGTGTGGTTTTATAAAAGGATTCTACAAAACCAGAAATATAGTGGCCTTAAAAACTCAAGTACATTATGACTGCCTGTTAGAGAGTAATAATACCGAAAGGATGGGTAACACACTAGCACTGCTATACAAAAGCGTAATGAAATAATTAAGCTTTTCTACTGACAGGGCATTCTTCTGCTATGGACAGAATTTCATCCCCCAAATATCTTGAAGCCATAACCCCCAATGTGACCATATTTGGACATAGGGGCCACGAGGAGGTAATTAAAGTTAAATGAGGTCGTAAGTGTGGGGCCCTGATCTGATAGCATTAGCTTTCTTAGAAGAGACACCAGAGAGCTCACTCGCCCTCCTCCTCCACTCCTTCATGCTTACACAAAGAAGACGTCATGTGAGCACACGGGGAGAAAGTGGCTGTCTGCAACCCAAGGAGAGAGCTCTCACCAGACACCAACCCTGCTGGCACCTTGATCTTGGACTTCCAGCCTCCAGAACTGCAAGGAAACAAATTTCTAGTGTTTAAGCCACCCAGTCTGCGGTTTTTGTTATGGCAGTCCAAGCAGATTAAGACATCACCCTCATCTATTCTGATTAGAAATCATTTTTTAAGAATCTCTCACCCGGATGATTACAGTAGTTCCTGTATCTCTGTGCCTCTAATACTTTGCTTCCTCCAGTTATTCATTCTCTATATCATGATACTACCAGAGGGCTCTTTCCAAAGTATGACATTGGTCATAATGTTCTCTTGCTTAAAATCCATAAATAGATACCCTTTGACAGAAGCATAAAACTCAATTTCCTCATGTGGCAGTAAAGGCCCATCCTGTACGAGTTCTTGTCTGTCTCTAGATTCATCTCTTGCCATGTTGCTGATGTCTCAGACTCAGTATTTCAACCCTAATGAGCTACTAAAAGTTTCTTGGGGTCAGCCTGGTGGTGTAGTGGTTAAGTTTGTGCACTCTGCTTCCGCAGCTTGGAGTTCACAGGTTCAGATCCCAGGCACGGACCTACACACTGCTCATCAAGCCATGCTGTGGCGGTGTTCCATATATAAAATAGAGGAAGATTGGCACAGATGTTAGCTCAGGGACAGTCTTCCTCAAGCAAAAAGAAGAAAATTGGCAACAGATGTCAGCTCAGGGCCAATCTTCCTCACCAAAAAAAAAAAAAAAAAAGTTTCTCAAGCAAAGCTGTCTGTTTCAGAACTCCAGTTTTTATCATGCTGTTAAACTACCATTTGCCTGTAATTTCTTTTTCTTCTTGGCCTTCATTTAAAGTATTTGTATATCTCTAAAAATTCAGCTTGGGGCTGGCCCAGTGGCATAGCAGTTAAGTTCACGTGTTCTGCTTCGGTGGCCCGGGGTCCACTGGTTCGGATCCCGGGTGCGGACCTACTCGCTGCTCATCAAGCCATGCTGAGATGGCATCCCACATAGAAGAGCTACAACTCTACAACTATGATACACAACTATGCACTGGGCCTTTGGGGAGAAAAAAAAAAGAGGAAGATTGGCAACAGATGTTAGTGCAGGGCCATACTTCCTCAAAAAAATAATTATTAAAAATTCAGTTTAATTGTAATCACCTTTATGAAACTTCTTTCCTAGACATCTCTGTTCCCATACTGGTAAAATTGTCACACCTTGTCTGTATGTGTCCTTCCACAGCAACTGGCATATAACACAATCATAGCACCTGTAATTCTCTATTCTTATGTTCTTATTTATTTATGTGTGTATTTATTTTTCTCTATTATTATGTTCTTATGTTATTATTCATTTATTCGTGTGATGAAATCAAAATTATTAATATGAGAGGGTTTTCAGACTTTTCTTTCCTCCTAGAATATGAAGGAAATTTTGAATCTGCCATGCCGATTCTTCTCCTATTAACTCCTCAAAAATTCTTGAGGCTAAAAAGGAGGAAAGTTCTGTAGGTTACATAATAACATGCTGAGAGAGAGTGGAGGGGAGAGAAAGAGGAAAGATGGCCATTATCAAGCAGCAGGCTGGGGGCAGGGCTAATAAATACTCTGTTCTTTAATTTTCTCTTGCTCTAGAGTGTACAGTGCTCTTGGTGTCTCCCATTGGCCAACATCAACCATAAAGGAGAGAGCCAGGGAGTCTACATGAGACCATCCATAGAAGACAGATTTCCCAGCATAAAGGAGGGAGTAGCAGGGTTGGGAGTGGTTATAATAGGGCAAACAGAATATCCAGCATAGGAGAGCATTTCTTATGATCACTTTGTAGCAATGGCCTATAGTACCATTTTTCTGAGTCTCATTGATCTCATTTGAGTCCTTACTTTTTCCTAAAGCAATCCCTATGGCCAACCCCTGAGCTTGGGGTGGGATAAATTTCCCTGGAGGTGCATAGACTATATTGTGGAAAGATTAATGCCTGAACAGTAAATCAGGGTACTTTTAGAAATAGAGGGAAACAGATGCTGGACCGTCAAGAACACCAGGTGTTCACCATAGGACTCAATGCATGAAAGTGAACGATTTTACTGAATAGAAACGTTAATTCTCAGTCTATTTACTATTACTAGAACACAATGCTGTATAGAACTACAGGAATTAAAAGCATGTTCATGAGGGATGAAAAAGAACATATATTTATTCAATATCTCCTACAGATCTTTAGCTTTTATGTGCCTTACAAAATTTAGTATTCATACAAGCCAGAGAATTGAAATAATTCCTCCAAGATCACTTAGCTGGCAAGTGGAAAATCTAGACTTCCATTTCACAGGTGTCTTTTTTTTTAAATGTAAAATTTCCAGACCTGGCTTTTAATTTCTTCTAACTTCCAGTTGAGAAGTTCTTTAAAATCTTTAGGAATTCCTCTTTACTTTAGAAAGGACAGACTATAAATTCTTATTCTACACAATTTTTAAATGTAAGTTCACTGAGTGTAAGTTCATTATGAGATTACACAAATGCAACTGAGATTTATTTGTGACTCAATCTTCAGTAGTTATAGAAATCCGCTGTTATTTGGACAGCTCCACCAAGATATTTACTGGAAGTGTCAGAGTGATAATTATTTTATCACACTCTTGTTTATAGAGTAGCATTTCCCAACTGTGTTCTGTGGAATGCTTGTTTTTTAATATGCTCGGAGGTGTGGTTATATAGGTTTGAGATTACATAAAAAGTTCTAACAGGTCATTTTACTCCAGAATTTCTCAGAATCCTTAAATAATAATGTTCATTGTGAATCTCGAGGAAGGAGATTTGTTATATAGGCTTTTCCAAACTTCTTTGATCACAGAATCTTTTTTTCCATAGAAAACCCACTCTATATTAGAAATACATTTTCTATATTTAGAAAATCCACTGAGTATTT